GTCAATCCCTTAAATTATAAAATGGCAGCTAAAAAGCTAGCAGTTTCACTGCAGCCATCTGTTCAGCAAGGTATGTACAGCATATAGAAAAAAAACTTTAACTTGTTACATCCCAGCTTTCAGAACTGAGATGTGAAAAGGACTATTGAAAATTATCTACATTTACAGTTCAGTCACACATTTTATTTAACGTCAGTATACAGAGGACAACCCCAGCAAATTTTGTAATGTCAAGTATTTAGTAAGGTTCTTCAGCTGTAACAGTGACAACAGAATAGCTAAAAAATAAGCAGTATGAAACAAACTTGAATTTTTAAAATTATAAATATACCAACAATACTTATTAAAGCTTAATTATTGCAACAGTTAATTTAACAATATTTCATGTTAGAAAGGCTCTATGAAATTTATTCAAGTTGTCAAGAAATTAGATGGAAGTGTAAAAAGGAAATACATATGAATTTTCTTTTGATTTGCACTAAAGATATAGTCAATACAATTTTGTACAGTATCACCTAACATATCAATCTTTAACAAACTCAAGTATACAGAATTGGTAAAAATGCAGGAAAAAAAATCTTGTTTTTAACTTTTACACCTAAGTTGTGCCACAGTAAATTAACTGACATGAAATTCGTTCTTGTAACATAAGTAGGCCAACAATTTTTTTCAGTATCAATTTAGGAGGTTTAAGCTGCTAAAGGGGCAGATGTACACACAGTCTCTTCAAGTACATAACCAAGTTTGAAAAAGGTAATAGTTCAAAACATGGGATTTCTGCAAGTATTTAGTAAAAGTCATGTTATTTCCTAATCCAGAAACCCTCACCCATAAGACCTTTTATACAGGGTTACGATCTCTCCTGGCTTCACTGAAGTCACTTTGCCACACCTCCATTGTGCACACCTTGCTATACATTATCAAACCAGTGTATTAGTTTAAATTCACTCTGCTAATGAAGGTGTACTATACGTGCAATTTTGCTACTATATGCACATTACCGGAAGCTTCAAATTGCACCTTGGTAACCTGAAATAATATAGTCATGATTCAGTTTTACTGTAGAATTTATGCAGATACCAATATCATATTGAAATAATTCTATTTGATAGTACTTCAAAATACCAGTAATTGACCTTCAGTTGTATTGGGAAAAAAATGCTCTTTTTCACTGAGGAAGAATTAATGTGTAGCCAGTCTTCCCACTCACCGAAGTATAATACATGAATATTTGTTAAGTACTTTTAGCGAAAACATTAGTCTTACTAAAACATGATACTGTACTACAACTGTAGTTAGTTGGAAGATTTAAGGATGTTATAATTTAAGATTTTCATGTACAATAAGAATCAAAAACATTCTAAATTTCATGTGCATTGTTTCACAAAATGGTAACGTATTTAGTCTGCCAGATATATACTGCCATTTCACTCTCCTTTGTAGTTTTGTCCAATCTTACCTTGAGCTCTCTCAGAAAAGAGAAATAAGTGGTAAGTTTCCCTTAAAATGAAGTGTTTGTACAAGATAAGCAGATTAAATTTATCAAACATTTAGATAGTTTATTTTGGATTGAAATAACTTTAGTAATTGAAATTTAGTAATCAAATTTGTGATTGTAATTAGCTACAGTCATGCCTAATAAAATTGTTTAAGGTAAAAGAATTATCACTAAATTCCTTTGCATGTAAATACGAAGCATTTTTACTGCATCTGTAGTATTTGCAATTTGGCTTGAAGTAACCAGCAATGTGATTCACGCGCAATTTCACGTTTCTAATTCTCAACTATTTAAGTTGTTTCAGGCAAGTTAAGGGATAAGATTAAAATTTCCATGACTCCATCTAGGTTTACCTAGGGAGCAATCCCCCTGGCCAATCTGATGACAGTTACTCAACTAAGGAGAGAAAAAACTCAAAAGTCAAACCCTCAAGAAGAGTGGGCTAAGATTATAGTTCCTAAAATGAGAGAAAGTGAAATTCACAAATGAATGGATCAGACTGAAAGGAAAAACTGTTAGTTATTTTTCAGACAGGTAAAGTATGCTTCCCCACCACCCTAGCCCAATTTGTTTTACTGCTTTTGACCAGGAGTTAGTATGATAATTTTAAAAGTGTGTTTGGGTCACATACTTTACAAGCACAATGTAGCCAATAAGAAAGCTCAAGGTATCATGGATAAACAAGTAATAATTCATAAAGCTTTTAGCATAGGTTGTATGGGGCTGGGATGGCAGTGCATCATACTGGCCTTATGAAATCAAGGTTGAAGATCCATTTCTGGATTTTCAGCCAAGGCCAGTAGAGACCAAACACTGTGGGCAAGAGATTCAATAGGTCTAAAATGAGGAAGACCACCCTGTGCCTGGTTGTCAGTGCTTTCTGTAAATTAGTGGAGAATACACGGCATACCATCTTTCAGACTGCACTGTAAGTGCTTTGATGGCTCTTCCAAAAAGGAGGCAAATGAGTGGGAAAGGTAGAGATGGCTCAGTGGCACTGATGCTTTCTACTGCAAGGTTAGTTTAATTTTCTATTCAGTCTTTCTTTGGGATGGTTATGGTTGGCACTCAACTGAGGCTGTTTGTGAGGCAATGGTGGAAGAATTTTTTAAACAGGAAAAATGGGAGGGAGGGCAGTCTTTAGGACTTTCAGGAACCCAGATGATGGGAGGAAGACAGAAGATAGCAGCTTTAAGCTACAAAGTGACAGACTTAGCCAAGGATAAAACTACTGGCAATATAGAAATGTGTGGTATATAACCCAGAAGTGACACGTTACCATCAGTGTTTTTATACTTTGACCATTCTCATTAAATATGCATAAAGTTATAATAAGTGCTCTATCCTATAAACCAAAGGATGCTTTACTTTCTGGCAGAGATACTTCCCCATCAAACTCCTGTAAACATGCCACTAAAACTTAGTTTAAATCGCAGAGTGAACTCACTGTAAATGCAAATGAAGAAATCAGAGAAACAAGTTCATTTGAAAAATATCTTTCTAGGGAAGTAAATACATCCTAAATAATATGGCATTTACATCAGTGTGCAATATATTAATTTTGAAAGATCATGATAACTTCAGCATGAAAATGACTTACCTGTAATTAAAGTTTTCCATATTAGCCAAATACTTAAATCCTGATTTTGGGTACTGCATACTCTATCTCTGAAATATTTGAGATGATGTATTCTAAATCAAAACCATCAATGCACAAAAACTGATTAAGTTATGTTCAGCAGCTTAAGGAAGCCTAATTTACAAGTTCATAGAAAGAAAACGTACAGGGGTAGTGTTTGGTAATACACATGCAATCTGGGTTAACATTTATGCAAAATAGCAATATTCCACCCTAGAAAGCTGAGACACTGATGCACATGTTTAAAGTTACTTTCATAAGAATGTTTGTGACTTTCACTAATTCACAGAAGTTAAAGTAGTTCCAGTGTTATGTAGTTTCACTATTTTGAGTTAATGATTCTCATGAACTAAGTATCTTTAAAAGGTAAAGTAATGCCCTTTCCCCCACCTCTAAGAGAAAGATTCACTATGTTTGGACGTAGTAGATCTAGCCGCTAAGTGTGCACAGATGCTGAGTGGAAGGGGTTCTCAATGTGTACATATAATATGACAGATTTGAGAACCAGACTGGAGGAGCTTTTACAAAATGTGCTTGGGGTTTCAAAGCAGCTAGAATCACCCTTTTCTTTTAAAGGAATAATTCTGATAATTCATTTTGAGAATTTCTTGCAACAGAAATCTGAAGTTAGTTGTGGTGTATTTTAGTTTTCTGGAACACAGTGGTTGCTCCAACTACAAACATGACTCTAGAGAATCAGGTAGTTTAGGATTAAGGAACTACATACATCTACATTGTCCAATTAGGAAAATATTCAAATAATTTAAGACCAATACTCCAGGAATGCAATAGCCTATGTGTGCTGCATTTTTACACAAGTAATCAGAAATAAATGAGCTCCCCCTGCTGGTTCTATGGTTTCTCAGAACTGTATTTCAACAAAGCTATCTTGGCATAGAAGGTGCTTGAGGTTATAAGATGGCAATTAGTTTTAGGCTCATTCAAAACACAGGAAAACAAATTTGCCATGCAATGGACAAAATAAATATTGTATTCAAGATTAGGAGGCTTTTACAAGGGAGTCTAAAAACCCTAGAAATGTATTACCTTAAATTGACAGAAGTGATAGCCTGAAAAAAGCCTATTAAAAATTGGTCTTGCCTGCATATTTGACTAGTAAAAATGACACTATTGGACCAAACATGAAGCTGTTTATGCAGAATTTCTTTTTAAACCATGGCCATGATTCTTCTAATGATAATGACCCCTATAAAAACAAAATCAAGATCTTTATTCAGGTTCATAAAATCTCATTAGGACTGTATTATGCATTTAGGACTGATTCACAATTTCAGGGAAGATACTGCAAATTATTCCCAATACGGTCAGCAGAGAGTTTTAAAAAATTTGCTCACAAGCTGACTGACATTTATTAATATTCCAGAAATCCATAAAAAGGTAGTGTTACACACTTAAGTTTTCAGATGGGAAACCTAAATTCTAAAAAAGCTAGCACTTCATGGTCAACTCAAAGCAGTAGTATTTCAAAACACAGGAAAACAGCAGCATAGGAAAATGTGTGAATGACTAATATTGTTACTTCAGTGATTGAACACTTTTAATCTAGTTTTTAAATCTTTGTCTTCACTATGTTGTGTTTAGATTAAAAAAAGTTTGAAAATATAGGAACACAAACTTTGGATACACAGTATTTCTCTGGTTGGAAGGCAACTAAGAAATATACCCCAAGACACTTCAAATCATTCAGAAATATGGCATGCAGTATCCAAAAGTATGGCTCTGAGGAAATAACCTTTTTACATTAAGCATAAAGAAATTTTATATCTAATAATCAGGTATATTGAGAAAACTACCTATTCAAAGTTCTAGTTCTTTGATGCAGCATTAAGGATTAAAACTTACCACTTTACCAGGCCTTGCCCATGTGCAAATAAATCCCTCCTGACAAGCAGTGACTATACAGTCTTCAAGAAAAATTAACACAGTCAGTCTTTCATGTGCTATCTTTTTACAGATAAGAGGCTCTAACAAGGGAACATCTTCCATTCTGGGACAGAGAGGTGTTCCCAAAGTTTTAGCTGGGTCCGTTTTGGTTTTAGTAACTAGGTTCAGTTTGTCACTGCTCTTGCTAGATATATGTCCCATGCTATGATTTCTCTTGTGATCTTTTTCATGGTGTCTTTCTTTCCGATCATGTAGCGATAAGGTTGCAAACTTACTAACACCAGCAGCAATGGCACCATCCATAACGCTACTTTTACTGCCAGCATTTGAGACTGCAGAATGTGGAAGGCTGTTTGACCGTGGAAGAGGAGGGGGTACTGAGTTTCCAGGTGTTGTGATACTGTTTCCATTACTTCCTGGATTAGTTCCACCACTTCCTGCAGGTGGACTTGTGGCATTCATAACATTTGTGTGTGTCCTTGCTCTTGACAGAGGTTGGTGAGGGAAGAGAATATCTTCTGTAAGGTCCCACAAACAGAGTTGAGTGTCTTGGCCTACAGAACCAAACCTGTATGTAACACTTACTGGACGACTGTCTGTAGAGTTCCTTTTTGATAACCTAGATTGTGTACTATTTGCTCGATCTCTACCAAAATGAAGGTCTTGGAAATCCTCATCACTGCCACTAAATTCCATTGGGTCACTCTCTTCTACACTAGTGGTATATGGGTCAAATGCCACAACACTAACCCATGATTTATGTCCATGGCCTCTAGCTATTACTCGACAGTCCACAAAAGACCAAACCGTTACCAAGTCATCCTCTCCACCTATTACAATGTATTTCCCATCTGGGCTCCAACACACACATAGTAGTCCCCCAAAGTAGCTTTTCATTGTACCATGCAACTCCACTGAATCAAAGTTAAACACACGAAGAAAACCATCTTGGCTCACACATGCCAAAAATTTCCCATCGGGGGAAAAGGCAAATTCATTCAGGGCACCCTCGCCTACGGTCCATTTAAGTAGAGGATTTCTTGTGGATTTACTCTTGCAAGTGTGGACTGCAAAACTTTCTCCTTGCTTAAGTAGCTGGTAGTGTGGGGCTGTGGTACCACAAGTGTGCTCCACATTATATAAGTACATATTTCCACTGGAATGAGCTACTAGGAAAAGGCTTTCCGACCCTGGTACCCATTTTACACAGGTTACTCTGGACTTGTCTATTAGTCTCTGTGAAAAACAAAGAACAAGATATGCATTAGAAGAGTGATAGTTTTACAGTTTACATCTATTAAAAGAAAATTTTATGGAATTTTGAACACTGTCAAACTCATGACAGTTTTAAAATGGTTTTATTTGCAAAAGAAGCTCCAGGCACTTTAAGATAGGCAGTTAGGAAGAGGAGGAATTACTGTTTATGGAAAAAGACGCTTTGTGAAAGTTTATTCTTTCTAATCCAATTTTTATTCAATAGTAAATCTACCTCAGTAACTAGGGCAATTTGTTATAGATCACAATTTAACACTTAGATTTACCTCTACAAGCTCAGCAAAAACAAGAGGTTTACTTAAGGAGCCAAAGAATAGGGTCTCAAAAATAGTATGCAATCTGAGTGAATGGAAGTTACTCACCTACACTCTAACAGAATATCTAATATAAAGTTAAGACCAGAGTTCAGATTAAATCCCAAAAGCCACATATGGGACTTTCCCCTCAAAAAAAAAAAAAAAAAAAAAAGCTTTAGGAGCCCACTGGAAGTTTCTAGTTACTGAAGTCTGCAGTGAATGTGTGCCAAGATAGATACCACAGGTATATTCAGTGATTACTTCCTCTGACTTACAATAACCAAATTCCCAGAGGTGGATGGAAAATTGATGACTTTATAGTTAAGCACTGGTCAGAGACTTTAAATCAGAGCATCCCTTTTCCAAGTTACCCTTCACATATAGAAAAGGAGTACTTGTGGCACCTTAGAGACTAACAAATTTGAGCATAAGCTTTCATGAGCTACAGCTCACTTCATCGGATGCATTCAGTGCATATAGAGGAACATAGAAGTCCATTAGATCACCATCTGTACAAGAAGCAGTTTCATTTAAAGTATGAAGTACTTCCACAGATTGAGAGACAATGAGTGACCATGTGTATTAAATATGCATATTTAGGATATTTTGAGTGTCTTGTTAGTGCTGAAAAAATTGAAAGCTGCTTAGCAAATTTCACCTGGCTGCTTGAGCCTGCTAGTCCAGCCATGGTGCCCAATAGATATTTGTAAACTCTGAGCTGATCCATCACGCTGCCCACCTGACCACCCACACCTCCAATGTGATCTAGGGCAGAAACAAGCAACAGCAGTAAATAAGTGAAAGTGTTATGGGCCACAGTTTGTAGGTTGAAAGAACAGCTGAGATATACAAAAAGTCAAGATTGCAGTAAGTAAAAAAGGAGTTCCCAGGGAAACATATAGGGACTGACTGGCCATAGAGTACACTTTAATATTTGTCAGAAAAGAAATGAATTGAAGGATGAGGCAGTAGATAATTATATTCATTCTGCATATGTGTCTACCACACTGAAAAGCAGCAGTTAAATGAACATTTCAAGCTATGCTCTGAAGCACTTCTGTTGCTGTCGATCTGAGGATGGAAGCCAAAATCTGTAGGCCAACTACTTACCATTCAGTTTCTTATGCACTACGAAAGAGTGGAGCTTAAATCATTTTGTATTTGAAGATTCAGAACAGTAACTTAGTCTAGCAAATTTCTTCTGAAATAACAAGCATCTTCAAATAGCAGTTTTGCTCGGTTTTTGCGGTGAACTAAAGAGTTGGCTTCTGTGCTCATTATTTTAATTGTGGTAATTGTTTTGTTGTTGGCCAATCATGCCTCTATTGTGGCCCCAACAAAATATTAGTTAGAAAATTACCTTTACTAAAAGTATGATGCTAGGAAACTGGATCAATCCTGCCTGCCACAGGCCACATCTGTCCTCTAGCCATGGAATAAGTACTGAGATGGCACAATGGAAGCTCTCGCATTGCTCTATTAACATGGCTCAACAGTGGGCTAGAGACCCCATCTACAGGGGTGATTATTCTTCAACATTTATATTACACTAGCACCTGAAGGCCACAATCACATTAATGGAAGGTTTTGTACAGAAACAGACGACAATTCCTGCCCCCAAAAGCTTACAGTCTAAGTTGACAAGACATAATAGGTTGATGAGAAACAAGCAGATTGAGGTGGAGATGCAGATGACAAAAGGTAACAAAAATGGGAGGTGCACAAATCTTAGCAAGGTTTCAGAGTAACAGCCGTGTTAGTCTGTAGTCGCAAAAAGAAAAGGAGTACTTGTGGCACTTTGGAGACTAACCAATTTATTAAATTTATTAAATAAATTGGTTAGTCTCTAAGGTGCCACAAGTACTCCTTTTCTTTTTGCAAATCTTAGTAAGTGATCACAACTTGCCACCCGCTTAACCATCAAGGTTGCAATTTTCTGTATGCATCAGGAAGAGTAGAGTTTTGAGGAGGGGCTTGGAGAAGGTGGTGATGGGTTTATGGATTTTTGACTGAAAGCTTTTCCAATTCACAAGGTACAGCATGGGAGAAAGCACTAAAATGCTTGCTAGAGAAACAGAAACCTGTGGGTGGCAACTGGCAGAGAGACACTGCTATAAATAACAGGTTGAACAGGTAGGATGAGGCTGAACTGTGGAGGATTTTGAAAGCAAGGAAAAGTCTGCATTTGATACAGTAAATTAAGGAGTCAGTGGAGGGACTTAAGAGGGTGAAAGGTGGGAAGGTAAAACAAGAAGATAATCCTAGCAGCCATATTAACAGACTTGAAAGGGGACCCGGTTACAGGCAGAGAGGCTGGAGAAGGAGATAAAAGAATTTGCTCAGAAATTGGTGGTGTGGGTAGACAGGAGAAGTTGGATCTTGGAGATGTTGTGCGAGGAGAATCTGCAAGATTTGAGATATGGCTTTAATGTGTGGGTCAAAAGAGACAGGAGAAACAAAAATGCCTAGACCACAGGCTTCATAGTTAATAGTTCAGTTGCCCAACCAGAGGGTGCTGTAATTGGATTACAGACTTGTTCACTGGAAATAAGACCACCACCAATTTATTTCACATACAAGACAAAGTTTTCCATCACTACAAAAATGATCTGAATTTGAACAGCCAACCAGAAGCAAGAGGTTCCATAGTCTACTCCTAAGGGAATTCTGAGCCACTGTGTATGCATAAAATTAATGTCTGGTGTGGAATTTTCCCCGCATGGTAGAAAGTACTGTCTGCCCAAGAAGTGCTGCAGTTCTACCTTTTGCCCACCAGAAGCAGCTGTGCCCCAGAACAGCTGGCTGACCACCAACAAAAGCTAGTAGCCAACTGTATTCATTACAGCAGCCTGCCAGCGGAACCAGGTTAGGAGGCAGAGAGGGGAACACGGGGCTGCTGAGGGGTCACAGATTTGGGTTCAGAAGGGCTAGTGAGGGTGGGGGGAACAGATTGGGGTGTGGGCCCAGTAGCTAGTGAGGTGACAGCATTGAGCCAGGGGCTCTGGGCCACATGGGGACAGGGGAGTGCAAGGATACATGGGGACAGGGGCAGATGTGCCTGATTGAATGGGAGAGGCTCGGGGTCAGCCAGGGTCTGCATGGGAGAGGCTCCCCAACTCCTTAACAACCCCTGCCCTGCCCTCCAAAGAAAAAGTGCCATATTTCTCCCACCCACACCTAACAACCCTCCAGATTCACTCCTGAGCTCCTTCCCTCTCCCTCAGCTCCTCCATTACCCCTGACTTCCCCAAGCCTGTGCACTGCTTTTGTGGGGTGTGGAAATACATTTCTGTATTGTAGTTTAAATGAAGTACTCAAAGTTCTGCATTAACATGCCCAGGAAGGAATCTATTTGTCAAAAAAACATTTCCTGAATATATGTGTGTGTGTGCACGCGCATGCGTGCTTACAGACATACTTGCTGACAGGTATTTTGAAATAAATTACCAAAATAATTGAAACTGGCATGTTTATATTGTGTTATTTTGACAAATAAAACATGCAGATTTTAAAATATTGCATGCAGAACTTTTAATGTTTTGGCACAGAATTCCTCCCAGAGTAATAGCTTCTTGAGCCTTTCAAGTCCCTATGTCTTGCATATTCCAATGATTTTATATTTTGATCACAAAGTAATAGGACTGATTTTATCTTACTGAACTTGTTTCATTAGGCAACTATGAGTGTAAAGATCTGGGATATCAGCAGGTTACTTCGCTAATCAGATATTGGTCAGAAGGAATCTGCCATCTTCACTGCTTTAGGGCAGAAGAGATTGTCTCTTTTTTAAAAAAGGAGGCAGTCATATTTTGACCACTCCCCCAAGTGCTTTCAAATCACTGGCAACAACTGTATTTTGCAGGATACACAAGCCTGGGCAAGTTTTGAACTGGATGCAAACATTTCCTAACTCTTGCATGTGTCAAGGTCTCAATTTGTCTGCCCCTTGGTGGCTCCCAGATTTGACAGCAATAGCTGAGGAATCTATTACAATTAAAACTGTCAGGATCAGATAAGTAAAAGTCTACACTTCGATACACTGCTAGTTGCAGCCAACCACACTTCAGCTTGAAAAAATTGTGGTTAATGGTGGCAATTTTAAGATTTAAGGTTAGCACAGGCAACCAAACTTGTCACTATTAGCTGCATTTCCCATCTCTGCTACTGCTAGTATTAAGTGACCTCCTCTGCCATAAGTTTTTTGTTTTTTTCGAATACCATCTCATTTGTTAATTGCCTCAGTGTTATGAGAGTCAATTCACTTCACTTTAATGGAACCAGTTATTGTGAAATGGGGAGAGTGTCCCAAGCTGTTTGAATGCATTCATCAACTTTTATTCTATTACCACCATATATATTGGCAAAAAATAGAATTAATTCACCACCAGTGCACCTTCATCTTTTAGAAGGAGTTGTGTAGGTAGAATGCAGGCTTTGTCATAGAGTTGGCTTACTCATGGTTAGACAACATGGGTCATGTCTTCACTTGGGGTTTTTAGGAAGAAGTCTCCATTGATGTTATCACCATTTCCTCTACATCAATGGGTAAGGCTAAGATTTTATCACGGTTATTTTTAGTAAAAGTCATGAACAGATCATGGGCAATAAACAAAAATTCACAGAGTCTGTGGCCTGTGCGTGACTTTACTAAAAAATAACCAGGGGGGAGAGGGGGCAGGGCTAGGTAGGAATGGAGCCCCGTGGGAGAGGAGAGGGCAGGGCACGAACGGACAGGCTGAGCCCCTGGCCATGGAGGGGGGGAGGCAGCACAGCCCTGGCCCCAGCGTTACAGCCACAGGGGGCACATAGACCCTGCTACAGAGCTGGTCACAGCTGTGGGACAGGGGTGAGCAGCCCTGACTGAAGCCCCAGCTGCAGCTGGGGAAGGAGGGGGGTGGGTGGCACATGGCTCTGGGAAGCCGCAAGTGGGGGCACATGGTCTCCAGGTGCAGCCACCAGGCAGGGGCACACGGCCCCAGCTGCAGCCCCTGACAGAAGCCTCAGGGTTGGGGCACACGGCCCCAGCTTCAGCCCCCACCAAGCACGCAGGGCCGGCCTTTGGGGTGGGCCGTACAGGCATTTGCCCAGGGCGGCCTGCCCAAGGGGGCACTGTGCACAGGGTTTAGATTTCCACCTGACCTGCTACTGAGGCGGAAGGGGCTGATGGTGGTGTGTCTCCCTCCCCCGTGTCCCCGATTTCCACTAAGTTGGGGTGACGGGACAGGGGGAATCTGTGCGCACTGCTGCCTCTCCGGGTCCGGAGTTGTTGGCAGTTGCTTGTGTCTGAACAAGCCTAGTTCAGGCTCCTGACCCTGAGTGCTTTCATACAGAGACAGCACACTCACTCACTCCGGCACACACAAACACACTCCCCTCAACACAACGCACACCACACACACACAGTCCCTCCAACACACACACCAGGGCTCCCTGAATCCAGGGTAGGAGTGAAGGGGCCACACAGTGCACGGGTTGGGATGAAGGGGACAAAGTGCAGAAGTTAGGGCAGGGGTGAGCAAACTTTTTGGCCCGAGGGCCACATCGGGGTTGCAAAACTGTATGGAGGGCTGGGTAGGGAAGGCTGTGCCTCCCCAAACAGCCTGCCCCCCCCATCACTTCCCGCCCCCTGACTGCCCCCCTCAGAACCCCCAACCCACCAACCACCCCTTATCCCTGTCCCCTGACTGCCCCGACCCCTATCCACACCCCTGCCCCCCGACAAGCCCCCTGGGACTCCCACACCTATCCAACCCCCCGCTCCCTGTCCCAGCAGCCCCCCCCCCCGACACCTCACCCCCTATCCAACCCGCCCTGTTCCCTGTCTCCTGATCGCCCCCACCCCCAAACCTCCACCCCATCCAACCACCCCCTGTCCCCTGACTGCCCCACGGAGCCTCCTGCTCTTTATCCCCCACCCCTTTACCCTTACCATGCCGCTCAGAGCGGCAGGACAGGCTTATTGGAAAGCCTGGGAGGTGGGCGGGCGCAAGTCGCGCTGCCTGCACATCAACGTTGCTGCAGGGGAAGGGGGACAGCGGGGAAGGGGCCGGGGTAGCCTCCCTGGCCGGGAGCTCAGGGGCCAGGCAGGACTGTCCCACAGGCCGGATGTAGTCCGCGGGCTGTAGTTTGCCCACCCCTGGGTTAGGGGCTCAGGAGGGAGGTGCAGGGGTAGGATTGAAGGGGTGCAGAGATTGGGGCACAGGAGAGGAGTGCAGGGTGGGGTGAAGAGGGCACAATGCAGGTTAGGAGTGGAGGGATTAGGGTTGCAGGAGGGGGGAGCAGGCATTAGGGGTGAAGGGGGCACAGTGCAGGGGTTAGGGGGGAAGGGAGGATGGGGAAGCCCATGAGGGCTGGGGCAATGGGGGGGGGTCTCGCCCACAGGGGCCAGGGCACCAAAATGCAAGTTCATCCAGGGTGCCATTTTCCCTAAGGCCAGCCCTGCAAGCATGGGATGCCGCAGGGCTGGGGCGTGTGGCCCTGACTGCAGCCCCCGGCAGACGCGGGGCTGGGCATGCAGCTCCGGCTGCAGTCTCTGCCATATTCGGGATGCCACAGGGCTGGGGTGCACAGCCTCGGCTGCAGCCCCCAGAGGAAGCTGCAGGGCTTGAGCTGTAGGGTCCTGGTTCCAGTCAGCCCTAGTTGCAGGATAGAGCTGCAGTCCTGCTCCGCATCCTGAAGCCCAAGAAGCTACGAAGGTCCAGTGAATTCACAGAATCTGTGACTGCCATGACCTCTGTGATTAAATGGTAGCCTTATCAATGGGAATTCAAGTGCTGACAAGGTCACAGAAGTTTGCTATTGTGCCAAACTACCACATTTATGTGAAAGTGATAAAATTTCAGAGGCCACTTGTGCCTTGTCTAAACTACAGCTCACACCAATGCAGTTGTACCAGTGGTGAATTATAGGTCCCATTTTTTCTAGTACAGACAAAATCACAGTGAACCTTCACTCTGCTGTACTTTGGTTTCTACCAAAAGGCACCTTTAAATGTTGCATTCCAAGAAAACACAAACTCTCCCCCCTCAGCGAGACAAGGGGAATAGGGGAGAAGATAGGGGAAGTGGAAGAGGAAAGGGTAAGGAGAATTTCCCTCTCCTGATCTAGTTGTCGCTTTTCTCGGAACAGCTAAGAGGAACTAGACAGGTCTAAAGCAACACCCTACTGGGAATGAGACTGCTTTCAAGACCCTTTTCTACAGCTGTCAGGGGAGGGAGGAGAAGAGGCCTCCCGCCAATCCCAAGAGGAGTAGGCTAGGTTTGGAAGTTGAGCCAGGCTAGACCTCTTCTTTCAGGCTGTCTAGAATAAAGCTTTTGATTGCTAGAGTTAATTGCAAATTCTAAATTCAAGTCATCTGGCAATTATGCTAGTTGTGCAGCCATTCAATAACCATGTGTTACCGTGCACAAGTGTTTCTGTCTGTCACCCTTGAACACAATGTTTGTGGAGTGTCTACAGTAGCGTTTACATTCATGCTAGTTAACTCGAGTCAACTGGCAATCAACTAACTCTAGTTACAATACAACCATAACTAGTCTAGACAACACCTATACAATTTGTTTTGTGAAAAAACACCTTATAGTGCAAGAGTTCACATTTTTAGTAGCAATCTTTGAGCTTATTTACATAATAACTTTTTAAAATATGACATGTTTGCATGCAAAAAGATCAAGATTCCTACTTACTTCCTCATTAAATAATTTGCTAGTTTCTTTTTTAATAGGGTCTATAAGTTGCACCTGGCCTGCAGAGAAGCCCACTAGTAGAGAGACACTTTCTGCTGTGGCTGTTAAGTGATTGAAGTCATGACATGTAGGTTGCGTTCCTTTGTATATCCTTTTGTCTATTGGTTTACTCAAGTCAGCAGCCTGCAAAAAGAGCAATGAAAACAAAAAGATAGTCTGTTATGTATACACTTTTTATGATAAACTAAATTCTATTAGTGAACAAGTTTGCTGTATGTAGCAAGATGATCAACACAATGGTTAACAAATGTAGTGAGAAAAACCTTAAGTTACAAAGCAACTTTAAATATTAATCAATTTGGCTTTAGTAAGTTACCATTGCTGTGTGAACAAAAAGTGAGATGCTTTCAGCAATTTAACACACACCAAGAAGCTTATTATATGTGTCTTTCAGTTTTACTAAATACTGAATAATGTCCACCAATTGTGGTTACACTACATCCCACATGAAGATTAATGACACTCAAAGAATAATATCTAGGCCCAGGCTCTACATAGTCACGTTTCCACCCGGGCTCCTTCTGAGAAGGAATGCGCGGATGGACTGGGAAAATGTCTCCTTCTCCCCACCAACTTTTCTGGCAACAGCTTTCCCACATACTTGTTGCTAGGCAGAGTTGTGTGTGGTACAGATTACAGCACAGGAAACATTTTTAGCCACCAGGTCTCTTATGTCATGTCTACAGTAGGAAACTCTGGAGCCACTTTGAACTCCTTATCTGCACTCCTTCAATATTTGCTCCTGCTATAAAATCATATAGAAGCTAGATTGCTTGTTTGAAAATTTAACACCTTCATGCTTTTTCACATTCTGCCCCACATGCTTGGGAGCAGTTCCCTGTAAACTCACTTATTACACTCCTTCAAATCCCTCCTGCGCTATGATGCCTATAAAAAACTTGACAATAGTTTCGTTGCTGCTGTGCTGAAACTACAGCTACCATGCCGACAAATAGTGTCACATTGTTTACTTGTACTCAGTCACATCTGCATTCATCTGTTGCCTCTTCTCTTACACTTAAGATTGTATGCTCTTCGGAGCAGGAACAGTCTTTGTTTCTGTGTTTCTACAGCATCTAGCACAATGGATGCAAATTGTCTGCAATTTGGGCTCTGAGGCACTACGGCAATACAAATAATTCACAGGGGTTTTTTTATAGTGCCAATACCATAAAGATATTTGTAGGAGACTATTCTCTATCATTGTTCTGTATAATAAGAAGCTCATATAGTCTATACACATGCTGCCTGGACTACTGGAAGCTTAACATTTATTCTGGAAGAAGAAATGGATCCCCCATGACCCTTGGTAAATAAAAGGGCTCAGACTGGCAAAGAAAGTTAAAGGCATGGAATAGTTTCCACGTAACAGACTGGAGACATTGAGACTATCTAATTTGTCTCCCCTAAAGTCTCTTTTCTGTCCTGGAAGACGTATTGTCATTTCATTGTTCTCTGGCTATATTACAAGAGTCAACAATGAAAGAAGAGCAGCTGAAAGAATCAATTTTAAATTGTTTTTAAAAAAACCTTCTCTTTACACTCATTTCACTTCAAGAACTAACATTGGTCGAGCAACCATAGAACACAAATGTAAATGTGGAAGGGACCTCAAGAGCTCATCTAGTCAAGCCCCCTCTACTAAGGCAGGACCAAATATACCTCTAGACCATCCCTGACAGGTGTTTGTCCAACCTGTTCTTAAACACCTCTAATGATGGGGATTCTACAACCTCCCTTGGAAGCCTATTCTAGAACTTAACTATCCTTATAAAGTTTTTCCTAATATCAAACCTCAATTTCTCCTGAAAACTGTTACTGCACCTCGCCCTACATTCAGCAGGCATAGAGAACAATTGAGGAAGGAAGTCCATGCTAGAGATTCAGCACACCTATGCCTTCAATTAAGATGTGAAATCACACCACATTCTCAAAGTCAGATGCAGTTGGGGGCTTCAAGTTGAGAGGAAAGCAGCTGTCCCCTTACACTTGTTTCAGTGACACTCTGCTTGACTTCAGACCATGGAAAGACAGGTATTTAGAAGGTTCAGAACTTACAACTACAGGAATATTCATATTTGAATTGGCACAGGTATATGTTGTAGTTATATGACTTGCAAAGGGCTTGTACCCTTTTGATGTACGAGGCCTTAATTTTCCAATCTTACATGGAAAATCCAGCTCCAAACTTTGAGGGTGGGGTGGTGGAACAGTTTCATCAGCTCTTTAGGCCTTATAACTCAGAATAAAATTCTTATCCTCTTTCATTTACAAAGTCCATGCATCTGTTAACTGATGGCATTTTTATAGCCGCATCCCTTGGGGGGGGGGGTGTTAAAATGGGTATAGTTGTGTTTAAATTCCTCCTCCTCTACTGGGAGAGGATAACTTGTAGCACCCTTCTATTGAAGGTGATACCCATATATACCTGAACATGCAGTTGTAAAATTGAGAAAGTATGAACGGACAACCAGGTGGCCACCCTGCAGAGGCCACCACCATTTTCAAGCGTCGGTTATGTTGTTGGTTATTGGAGACAGACTGATTTATAGGTTTCATAGATACACCATCTCAACCACCTGAAATAGTAGATTTCAATGCTTTTCTTTACATCCTGATAGTAGAGAATATCTAGAGCAGTGGACTTGTGAAAAGCCTGTGTGTGATTGATGTAGATATTGAGGGATCTATAAACATTCAATGTATGTCCAAGCATCTCTGCTGGATACGATGTTTTGGACAAAGAGGGAAGCACCATTTCTTGGTCTGTGAAAAAAACCTAGTTAATTTTTGGAACGAAGACCAGGTCTGTTCAGAGAACCACATCATTGTGAAATGTGCAATACTGTTCCTCAAGAGGGAAGGCCCCTACCTCCTACCTCCTCCAGGTAGAAGTAACTGCTATCAAGATTTTAATCTTTTGCCTTTATTTTCCTAAAGAAAATTGATTCTCACCGGTTAGTAACCATAAAAGCCATGTTGATTTGCCTTTACACTAAATTTAGAACTTTTTACAAATTAGGATAACACTATCTTTACACATTTAAGCAATTATATAGCTTAACAAAGTAAAACATTATTCAGATTCTTAAATTATCTTAGAAAATGGCAAATGATAATTTCTTATTTACTAGATTAATGTACTCATGATCCATGTCAAGTTGCATTTGGATGGAAGCTGGAATTCAATCAAAACGCACAAAACAGTTATTTAAATAAAAACTACATTAAAGGTGCTGAATACAGCAGAAAAAAACTAAGTTTATAAAAACATGTTTTGTATTTAAAACTGATTTATGAAACAAAGGAAACATCTGTAGTTAGTGAATTGAACTATTTCTAGTCACCATGTCCCTTTAGGGTTTTAGACCTAGTAGATCTCATCCTCTCACACCTTTATTTTTATTCAGAGATTGGAAAAGGAAAACAAGATTTTCTGCTTTTTCATCTTCCACCTGGTTTCTCAACTTTGAATGAACTAATTATTCAATAAACGAAGAAAGTATTTTATGCACCTGCAGAAGAAGCATCTGCTGTCAAAGCTGGTTTAGCACTTCAGTAAATTCTGGTTCCAGGTGCATACTCAGCAACTTCTACCAGGTTCATTGGTTTGACTCTAATACTTTGGCATCAAGCATGTACTGCTTAACTATTTTTATTTAATTTAAATTATTGTAAAATTATAGTAAGTTTAGGTCTTAACATTGGATACAAGTTTCAAAATTAAATTTGTTATTTTCAAGAAGAAAAACATTTAAATTTAAAAATTGCAGTTTAATAAAATCAGTTTGTTTTTCTCATTAATTTTTATCCACTCAGGGTATGTCTACACTACGGAATAAGGTCGAATTTATAGAAGTCGTTTTTTTAGAAATCGGTTTTATATATTCGACTGTGTGTGTCCCCACAGAAAATGCTCTAAGTGCATTAACTCGGCGGAGCGCTTCCAAAGTACCGAGGCTAGAGTCGACTTCCGGAGCGTTGCACTGTGGGTAGCTATCCCACAGTTCCCGCAGTCTCCGCTGCCCATTGGAATTCTGGGTTGAGATCCCAATGCCTGATAGGGCTAAAACATTGTCGCGGGTGGTTCTGGGTACATATCGTCAGGCCCCCGTTCCCTCCCTCCCTCCGTGAAAGCAAGGGCAGACAATCATTTCGCGCCTTTTTTCCCTGAGTTACCTGTGCAGACGCCATACCACTGCAAGCATGGAGCCCGCTCAGGTAACCGTCACCCTATGTCTCCTGGGTGCTGGCAGACGTGGTACGGCATTGCTACACAGTAGCAGCAACCCCTTGCCTTGTGGCAGCAGACGGTACAGTACGACTGGTAGCCGTCATCGTCATGTCCGAGGTGCTCCTGGCCACGTCGGCTGGGAGCGCCTGGGCAGACATGGGTGCAGGGACTAAATTTGGAGTGACTTGACCAGGTCATTCTCTTTAGTCCTGCAGTCAGTCCTATTGAACCGTTTTATGGTGAGCGGGCAGGCGATAACGGACTGCTAGCAGTCATACTGTACCATCTTCTGCCGAGCAGCCATGAGATGTGGATGGCATGCAGTCCTTCTGCACCATCTGCTGCCAGCCAAAGATGTAAAAGATAGATGGAGTGGCTCAGAACAAGAAATAGACCAGATTTGTTTTGTACTCATTTGCCTCCTCCCCTGTCTAGGGGACTCATTCCTCTAGATCACACTGCAGTCACTCACAGAGAAGGTGCAGTGAGGTAAATCTAGCCATGTATCAATCAGAGGCCAGGCTAACCTTCTTGTTCCAATAAGAACAATAACTTAGGTGCACCATTTCTTTTTGGAACCCTCCGTGAAGTCCTGCCTGAAATACTCCTTGATGTAAAGACACCCCCTTTGTTGATTTTAGCTCCCTGAAGCCAACCCTGTAAGCCGTGTCGTCAGTCGCCCCTCCCTCCATCAGAGCAACGGCAGACAATCGTTCCGCGCCTTTTTTCTGTGCGGACGCCATACCAAGGCAAGCATGGAGGCCGCTCAGCTCACTTTGGCAATTAGGAGCACATTAAACACCACACGCATTATCCAGCAGTATATGCAGCACCAGAACCTGGCAAAGCGATACCGGGCGAGGAGGCGACGTCAGCGCGGTCACGTGAGTGATCAGGACATGGACACAGATTTCTCTGAAAGCATGGGCCCTGCCAATGCATGCATCATGGTGCTAATGGGGCAGGTTCATGCTGAGGAACGCCGATTCTGGGCTCGGGAAACAAGCACAGACTGGTGGGACCGCATAGTGTTGCGGGTCTGGGATGATTCCCAGTGGCTGTGAAACTTTCGCATGCGTAAGGGCACTTTCATGGAACTTTGTGACTTGCTTTCCCCTGCCCTGAGGCGCATGAATACCAAGATAAGAGCAGCCCTCACAGTTGAGAAGCGAGTGGCGATAGCCCTGTGGAAGCTTGCAACGCCAGACAGCTACCGGTCAGTTGGGAATCAATTTGGAGTGGGCAAATCTACTGTGGGGGCTGCTGTGATGCAAGTAGCCCACGCAATCAAAGATCTGCTGATATCAAGGGTAGTGACCCTGGGAAATGTGCAGGTCATAGTGGATGGCTTTGCTGCAATGGGATTCCCTAACTGTGGTGGGGCTATAGACGGAACCCATATCCCTATCTTGGCACCGGAGCACCAAGCCGCCGAGTACATAAACCGCAAGGGGTACTTTTCGATAGTGCTGCAAGCTCTGGTGGATCACAAGGGACGTTTCACCAACATCAATGTGGGATGGCCGGGAAAGGTGCATGATGCTCGCATCTTCAGGAACTCTGGTCTGTTTCAAAAGCTGCAGGAAGGGACTTTATTCCCAGACCAGAAAATAACTGTTGGGGATGTTGAAATGCCTATATGTATCCTTGGGGACCCAGCCTACCCCTTAATGCCATGGCTCATGAAGCCGTACACAGGCAGCCTGGACAGTAGTCAGGAGCTGTTCAACTACAGGCTGAGAAAGTGCAGAATGGTGGTAGAATGTGCATTTGGACGTTTAAAGGCGCGCTGGCGCAGTTTACTGACTCGCTTAGACCTCAGCGAAACCAATATTCCCACTGTTATTACTGCTTGCTGTGTGCTCCACAATATCTGTGAGAGTAAGGGGGAGACGTTTATGGCGGGGTGGGAGGTTGAGGCAAATCGCCTGGCTGCTGGTTACGCGCAGCCAGACACCAGGGCGGTTAGAAGAGCACAGGAGGGCGCGGTACGCATCAGAGAAGCTTTGAAAACCAGGTTCATGACTGGCCAGGCTACGGCGTGAAAGTTCTGTTTGTTTCTCCTTGATGAAACCCCCCGCCCCTTGGTTCACTCTACTTCCCTGTAAGCTAACCACCCGCCCCTCCTCCCTTCAATCACCGCTTGCAGAGGCAATAAAGTCATTGTTGCTTCACATTCATGCATTCTTTATTCATTCATCACACAAATAGGGGGATGACTACCAAGGAAGCCCAGGAGGGGTGGTGGAGGAGGGAAGGAAAATGCCACACAGCACTTTAAGCACAGCACTTTAAAAGTTTACAACTTTAAAATTTATTGAATGCCAGCCTTCTTTTTTTGGGGCAATCCTCTGTGGTGGAGTGGCTGGTTGGCCGGAGGCCCCCCCACCGCATTCTTGGGCGTCTGGGTGTGGAGGCTATGGAACTTGGGGAGGAGGGCGGTTGGTTACAGAGGGGCTGCAGTGGCAGTCTGTGCTCCAGCTGCCTTTGCTGCAGCTCAACCATACACTGGAGCATACTGGTTTGGTCCTGCAGCAGCCTCAGCATTGAATCCTGCCTCCTCTCATCACGCTGCCGCCACATTTGAGCTTCAGCCCTGTCTTCAGCCCGCCACTTACTCTCTTCAGCCCGCCACCTCTCCTCCCGGTCATTTTGTGCTTTCCTGCACTCTGACATTATTTGCCTCCACGCATTCGTCTGTGCTCTGTCAGTGTGGGAGGACAGCATGAGCTCGGAGAACATTTCATCGTGAGTGCGTTTTTTTTTTTCTTTCTAAGCTTCACTAGCCTCTGGGAAGGAGAAGATCCTGTGATCATTGAAACACATGCAGCTGGTGGAGAAAAAAAAAGGGACAGCGGTATTTAAAAAGACACATTTTATAAAACAATGGCTACACTCTTTCAGGGTAAACCTTGCTGTTAACATTACATACATAGCACATGTGCTTTCGTTACAAGGTCGCATTTTGCCTCCTCCCACCGCGTGACTACCCCCTCAACCTTCCCCCCTCCCTGTGGCTAACAGCGGGGAACATTTCTGTTTAGCCACAGGCAAACAGCCCAGCAGGAATGGGCTCCTCTGAGTGTCCCCTGAAGAAAAGCACTCTATTTCAACCAGGTGACCATGAATTATATCTCACTCTCCTGAGGATAACACAGAGAGATAAAGTACGGATGTTGTTTGAATGCCAGCAAACATACACTGCAATGCTGTGTTCTACAATGATTCCCGAGTACGTGTTACTGGCCTGGAGTGGTAAAGTGTCCTACCATGAAGGACGCAATAAGGCTGCCCTCCCCAGAAACCTTTTGCAAAGGCTTCAGGACTACATCTAGGAGAACCGCAAATGCCAGGGCAAAGTAGTCCTTTCACATGCTTGCTTTTAAACCATGTATAGTATTTTAAAAGGTACACTCACCAGAGGTCCCTTCTCCGCCTGCTGGCTCCAGGTCTAGGGTGAGAAACAGTTCCTGGCTGTCGGGAAAACCGGTTTCTCCGCTTGCTTGCTGTGAGCTATCTACAACCTTCTCCTCCTCCTCATCATCTTCTTCGTCCCCAAAACCTGCTTCCGTATTGCCTCCATCTCCATTGAAGGAGTCAAACAACACGGCTGGGGTAGTGGTGGCTGAACCCCCTAAAATGGCATGCAGCTCATCATAGAAGCGGCATGTTTGGGGCTCTGACCCAGAGCGGCTGTTCGCCTCTCTGGTTTTCTGGTAGGCTTGCCTCAGCTCCTTCAGTTTCACGCGGCACTGCTTCGGGTCCCTGTTATGGCCTCTGTCCTTCATGCCCTGGGAGATTTTCACAAAGGTTTTGGTATTTCGAAAACTGGAACGGAGTTCTGATAGCACGGATTCCTCTCCCCAAACAGTGATCAGATCCCGTACCTCCCGTTCGGTCCATGCTGGAGCTCTTTTGCGATTCTGGGACTCCATCATGGTCACCTGTGCTGATGAGCTTTGCATGGTCACCTGCAGCTTGCCACGCTGGCCAAACAGGAAATGAGATTCAAAAGTTCGCGGTTCTTTTCCTGTCTACCTGGCCAGTGCATCTGAGTTGAGAGTGCTGTCCAGAGCGGTCATAATGGAGCACTCTGGGATAGCTCCCGGAGGCCAATACCATCGAATTGTGTCCACAGTACCCCAAATTCGAGCTGGCAACGTCGATTTAAGCGCTAATCCACTTGTCAGGGGTGGAGTAAGGAAATCGATTTTAAGAGCCCTTTAAGTCGAAATAAAGGGCTTCATTGTGTGGACAGGTGCAGGTTTACATCGATTTAACGCTGCTAAATTCGACCTAAAGTCCTAGTGTAGACCAGGGCTTAGAGTAAAGCAATGTTTCTTTCACCGCCACTTGGACTTCCACCAAGTTCACAGAATAGAAGGAATTTGTGGAAGCTTTTCTAGATGGCAGCAGAGTGTAGATTACAGCTTCTGTATATCCCATGTCTCCTACAAGACCATTCAAAAGCCATACAGTTAGTCTTCTGTACTCTGACTGATACATCAATCCCATACAGAAAGCAAATCCTGTCTTAAAAGGGAGGACAGTGGGATCAGACTGAGCCATGTTGAAAGACTGGAGAACCAGGGCTGCCTCAACCAATGCAGAGCCACTATTATCTCCAGTGCACTCTCCCTCCTTGTCTTCTGGTTAGTTCTGAGTAGCGGGGGGAAACAAGTAAAGGCATACAGGAGGGCTACTGGCCACCTCAAGGAGCACCTATGCTTACTATCTTTGGATCTCTCTTTCAGGAGGGAAAGGAGGGGACCTTACAGATGTAAACAAGTTTGAAAGGACCCTGAAATTCCTCACTATAAAGTGAAGCTTCTGGGTTCAGACTCTATTCTGCTTGATGTAGCTGTCCTTTGCTTAGCCAGCTGGCAACTATTTTCCTCTTTTCTCCAGTATTTAGAGCTCTGAGGGACTGTAGGTTCTTCCTCCACCCAGAATGTCAAAGATGGGCTTCATTGGGCAAGGATGACTACATTGTCCCATCCTGTTTATTGATGTAGGTGACTGTAGTAGTGTTGTCCCTCACCATTACCATATGGGACATATTCATCTATGGGGAGAGAGCTCTGAATTCATGGCACAGTTGTCCTGAATTCCAACCTGTTTACACCGTTTCTTCTCCTGTTCCATCCAAATTCCCTGCATTGAATTCATCTGTCTGTGCCCTTCATCTCTTAAACTTGTCACTGGATGCAAGTACTACTCTGTCCACCATGGCTCTGGGTAATTAATTCCTGAACCATGAGTACCATCTTAGAAAGTATTAGGCTCCAAGAATTTGGACTCTCCTAAACTAAAGTGAACTAAAGTGTGATGATACATGGACAGCAGAAACGACTTGGAGATTTCTAGTGTGCAACTTCTGGCCAACTACAGCACATCCACAAGCAAGATGACAAATAGGGAAGAGGAAGTTCCCATTTTTCAAATAATGACAGAATGTCTACTTCGTTGATTGTCACCAGCGTGGACATTAAACATTTGCTTCTTGAGTCTGGGATTTTTCAGGAACTTGAAATGCTTAACAACCTTGCTTGGTCTTTTTGTTTTTTTCTGGGGATTTCCATTCCTCTTTGATCACATCTATCAAGGCCGTATTGAGGGCAATATATGGCTGTTTTGGATCTGAGGGATAACACTTCCGAGTGGTGTAGTCATTCTTCTGACCTAGTTCCTCCTCTTAGTCTTAGAGGTTTTCTCAGGAGGTAGATCTAAATTGGAAGCTGTCCTCAAGCACGGATTTGAAAAATTCTAACTGGAAGAGTTCTTCTTTTCCCCTCCTGTTTCCTCTTCTGAAGCTTGCCCTTCCCTTGCAGGAAGGCACTGAAGGACTCCTGTACCTGCAAAATCTGGATTTGTGCTTCCTTCTTAGACCTGCCCCTCCTTGGAGGGATCAGCATCAGAAGATTGAAACAAACGGGAAGGACACCTCTGCCTGGATTAGCTTTCCTGAGTAGTAGAATCTTTTTAGGAATGCTTTGTTTTTTATCCTGTGATGAGTTGGGGGACAATAGTGACCATAGGTACGTATCACTGTACTTACTTCTCATTTCCTTCTCGGTCTTTCGCTCTGTGGGTGCTTACCATTAGATTCTGAGGTTGACAGAGAAAACTATTGCTGGAAAAGCTCACAGGCCCTAGTAAGGGACTCAGATTCTCTGGACTTGATACTTCATTTGCCCTGCACTGAATCCCTTGCCTACATGTCCAGACAGGGAGGCTTTGACCAAGCCTACACAGAGAGGCTCACCCCAGGAGAAAAGTTGCTCTGCGAGATCTGGGTCCATGACGATAAATCCCAGAATCTGACACTCACTACCACACTTAACTGAGACTGGCAGGAACTGAAAACTTCTCTATTTGGGAAACAACACCGGTCAGCCTGTAGTCATACTTGCTTGAAAGATGAAGAGGGTTTTCCTGCAGTATCCCCTCTCTCATGTCATTTCATGTATTCAGTCAAGTAGTAGATATCCCTCCTGTACATCTTAGCTGTATCAAAAGAGCACCAAGATGACAGTAGGGTGTATATTTCCTTTTGAGCTACAAGGTCTTAAATTTTTTTTTAAAATATATCTAAGAAAGTTTCCATGGCAGCTCCATTTACAGTCAACGCACATACCTCTAGGTTACTCAGTGGTTACCAATACCTGTCTTGGCTGGGATTGACTTTCTATGGCCTCAGGCAAAGCTGATGTTGTAACAATTAGCTCTTTGTGTGCCACCTAAACAGCCTGAGATTTACAGTAAGCAATCTCCTACCACAGCTAAAAGAAAAGGAGTACTTGTGGCACCTTAGAGACTAACCAATTTATTTGAGCATGAGCTTTCGTGAGCTACAGCTCACTTCATCGGATGCATACCGTGGAAACTGCAGCAGACTTTATATACACACAGAGAATATGAAACAATACCTCCTCCCACCCCACTGTCCTGCTGGTAATAGCTTAAGCCTTTTCTTTTTGCGAATACAGACTAACACGGCTGCTACTCTGAAACCTACCACAGCTAAGGAAATCTCTCTCAAAAGAAGGATCCCAGTCCAGAGGATTTTCTGATCTTGAATGACAGTGGGTAATATGGAGTGATCAGGTATTCACAGCTCTTGCACAAGTTGTAGAGAAAATAGGTGTATGAAAGAAGTGTCTTTATTATTATTTTAAATAAATACTTGTCAGTTCCTTAACCACAAATGAGTTAAATTTGGGGAGTATAAGTCATAAGTTACTTGTGAAAGAGAGCTGACCCTGCCCCCTGGAAGATGAACATGAGGAGACTCTGCACTTCTTGGGCCCTCTCTTGTTCATTTCATAAAATTATAGCAATATAGGGCTGACCTTGAGAGGTCATCTAGTCCACCCCCTGCAACAGTGCAGAACGAACAAAAACCTAGGCCATCCCTGAGAGAGGTCTGTCCAACACGTTCTTAAAAGCCTTCAAGGATGTGGATTCCACAACCTCCCTCAGAAGCCTATTCCAGAATTTAACTATCCTTACATTTTTTCCCTAATATCTACCTAAGGCCTTGTTTACACTGGCACTTTACAGCACTGCAACTTTCTTGCTCAGGGGTGTGAAAAAAAACACCCCGAGCGCTGCAAGTTTCAGTGCTGTAATGTGCCAGTATAGACAGTGCACCTGCGCTGGTAGCTACGCTCCTCATAGAGGTGGTTTTTTTAGAGCGCTGGGAAAGCTCTCTCCCAGCACTGTGTAAATAAGTTCCAACAGTTCATGGATTAGGGACCCAATCTCATGAGGTTCCAGGGGCTTCTGTGTAGATTTAGGTTCTCATCTACCCAATGGGACTCAGTGCTCAGTCTAGAAGATACCATCAGAGATGCTTAGTTTTGCAGTTCTCAAACTGTGAAGTTGTGTCTCCAGAAATAACATGCTTGTTAGCAAAAATGGTTTTAAATAAATAAAATAAATAAATATATAGAAGTGAGAAATGACAGACCTCATCCTTGGTGTTCCTCGCAAATTTGTGGACACAGTCAATCCCTTACCTCTCTCTAAAAGTGCAAAGTTTCAAAAAGTTCAGTGAATAGAAGATTGTTGGGGGTGGAATAGATCTGGACAAGGAGAAGAAGTCTGCAGATAAATGTGAGAAGGAAGGGACAGGCAGTAGAAACAAAAGTGAAACTGTTTGAGCAGCATATTCCAGAAGTCTTGAGATCTGAGTGTAGCCTTCATTGATTTGAGATCTACCATACCATTCTCCCACTAGAAGGGAAAACCTATAATGGCAGCAGGCCAAAGAGAGACCCAGTTTGGGAATAAAAACCATTCAAGAAAATATATGTTTGCTGATGATGTTTTAAAGGAAGTCACACCAGAGAACTGGTGGAAGTCACTTAAGCACTTGGATTCAGCGACTGTTGAAGTGATAACCTCACTTTTAACAGCAGTAGCTTCTTCTGCCGGCGTAGAAAGAATATTTTCGTCCTTTGGACTAATTCATTCCAAATTGACAGGTTTCAGAGTAACAGCCATGTTAGTCTGTATTCGCAAAAAGAAAAGGAGTACTTGTGGCACCTTACAGACTAACCAATTTATTTGAGCATAAGCTTTCGTGAGCTAGTGAACTGTAGCTCACGAAAGCTTATGCTCAAATAAATTTGTTAGTCTCTAAGGTGCCAAAAGTACTCCTTTTCTTTTTATTCCAAATTGAGAAATCGTTTGGGACCTGAAAAAGCAGGAAAGCTTGTTTTTCTTTTCCAGATTATGAACAAACAGGAAAATGAAGGTGAAGATGATTGAGTTAGCTGCAGAAGCCAATATTTTAAGTTTCTCATGTTGACCTGGCTGACTTAGTCGATCTAATTTTTGTTTTTTAAAAAAACTACTTCAGTTCAAAACAATTAACAAAAACAAACCTGATTTTAAAAAACTTGAATGTTTAACTGAATTCAAAAATTCATATTCTTGTTTTGTTAAAATATTATGTTTACTGTTGAAGAAAAAAATTCAGAATACATAACTTTGTTTTAGTTAAATAAACCAATTTAAATGTCTGTCTGGTGATGTTCTCCTCCTAATACAGCATGGCAAGAAAATCCTCCAAATATTAACGATTAACCTGTTGAATTGGAGATATTTATGAGGTCACTGGCAGTGAATATCTGCTTTAATTACCTTTGGTAAATGAAAATATCAGAAAATGAATGATTGGTTTCAGATGAGTTTTACAGCTATAAAGTTTTCAAAATAAATCACTTTAAAAACGTATCGCATGTACAGTCTAAAAATGAAACCTACATCTATCTCTGAGTTGTGAAGAATATGTATAGTAGCTCCTCACTTAACGTCTTGCCGCTTAACGTTGTTTCAAAGTTACGTCGCTGCTCAATTAGGAACATGATCATTTAAAGTTGTGCAATGCTCCCTTATAACGTCGTCTGA